GTCGAATCTAGCGTAGAATACGTTTAGATCCTCACACAGAGAGGCCGTGAGGTATCTTGGTATCCCCTCGGCTTGCTGCTGGTATGTTGGGATTTCTCCCAGTGGACGAGAGGGTTTGTTCCCTTCTGTGCTTATGCGCCGAGTGGCAGTTCAGAGTACCCAGTCTTATTGGAGTCCCTGAGTGGGGCACTGGAGGGTGCTCTTCCTGGGGACTCTGTTGTCCTACTGGGAGACTTCAATGCTCACATGAGCAACAACAGTGAGACCTGGAAGGGTGTGATTGGGAGGAACGGCTTCCCAGATCTTAACCTGAGGAGGTGCCGTAGGGGTCGGGTGCAAAGTGAGCCGGACGGTTTGCACAGAAGTCTTTGTTATTGGACTTCTGTGCAAACCACAGTTTGGCCATAACGAACACCATGTTTGTACATAAGAGTTTCCATAAGTGCACGTGGCACCAGGACACTCTAGGCCACAGGTCGATGATTGATTTTGTAATTGTATCACCAGACCTGAGGCCATATGTTCTGGACACTCGTGTAAAGAGAGGGGCTGAGCTGTCAACTGATCACCACCTGGTGGTGAGTTGGATTAGGTGGCAAGGGAGGATGCTGGACAGTCCTGGCACACCCAAACGTACAGTGAGGATGTGCTGGGAATGTCTAGCAGAGGCCCCGGTCCGCGACATCTTCAACGCACACCTCCGGCAGAGCTTCAACAACATGCCGAGGGAGACTGGGGACATTGAGCCTGAATGGACTATGTTCAGCATCTCCATTGCCGAAGCCGCTGCACGGAGCTGTGGCCGCAAGGTGGTTGGTGCCTGTCGCTTTGGTAAACCCCGAACCAAATGGTGGACACCTGAGGTGAGGGGATCCACCAACCTGAAGAAGGAGTCCTACCGGGCTTGGTTAGCCTGTGGGCAGCTGATAGGTACCGACAGGCCAAGTGGAATGCAGTGCGGGCAGTGGTGGAAGTAAAAACTTGGGTGTGGGATGAGTTCGGAGAGACCATGGAAAAAGACTTTCAGACTGTCTCAAAGAGATTCTGGCAAACCGTCAGGTGACTCAGGAGGGGAAAGCGGTGTTCCAACTGCAATGTGTATAGTGTGGGTGGAGTGCTGCTGACTTAGACTGAGAAAATCGTCAGGCAGTGGAAGGAATACTTCGATGACCTCCTCAATCCCACTGGCACGTCTTCTGTGGCGGAAGTTTGGGGACGAGGGGGATGACAGCCAATATCTGAGGTCGAGGTCACTGAGGCAGTTAAACAACTCCTTGGTGGCAGAGCCCCTGGGGTGGATGAGGTCTGCCCCGAGTTCCTGAAGGCTCTGGATGTTGTAAGGCTGTCTTGGTTGACACATCTCTGCAATGTTGCCTGGGGATCAGGGGCAGTACCCCTGGACTGGCAGACTGGGGTGGTGGTCCCCATCTTTAAGAAAGGGGAACCGAAGGCTGTGTTCCAACTACAGGGGAATCAGACTCCTCAGCCTCCCTGGGAAAGTCTATGCCAGGGTGCTGGAGAGGAGAGTTCATCCGTTAGTTGAACCTCGGATACAGGAGGAACAATGTGGTTTTTGTTCCGGTCGTGGAACACTGGACCAGCTCTTTATCCTCTCGAGGATACTCAAGGGCGCATGGGAGTTTGCCCAACCAGTCTACATGTGTTTTGTGGACTTGGAGAAGGCATTTGACCCTGTCCCTCGGGGGGGTCCTGTGGGGGGGGTGCTCCGGGAGTATGGGGTGTCTGGCCCATTGCTATGGGCCATTCAGTCCTTATACGACCA